CTCGTACGCACAACTTAAGAACAAATCTGTGCGTACGAACGGTTCTTGCATGAGGCTCATTGTTATGACAGGTTACAATATAAAAATGTTTGTTATAATCATGTCTTGTAATTATTTGACAGGAGTTTTACTTTTAAACTGTAAGTGTATTTTATTTAGTTATAACGCAAATTCAATACACATTAAACCAAGATTTAGAATTATCATTTTGATCGTACATTGGTRATGCCGTGCCCTTTATGTACAACAAATTGGGCCCCGAGGTCAAAAGGTTAAGAACTCCTGTCCTAAATGAACAGAAAATCTCCTATTTGTCAAGTAGGATCTAAACCAGGATAAAACTTTGTCTCTGACACCAACCAGCTGCTCTAATCATGACAGTAAGACGTTATGATCAATGGTATCAAATGCAGCAGAAAGATCTAAAAGCACTGAGCTTCCTGAATCAGCTGCTAAAAGAAGATCATTTAAAACTCTTAAAAGGGTTGTTTCAGTGCTGTGGCAGGATTTACAACCTGACTGGAACTGTTCACAGTATTTTTGTCTGTTAAAAATCCCTCGAGATGAATAAAAACAACTTTCTCTACAACCTTTGGTAGAAAGGAAATCAGTCTAAAGTTTGTGAAAACTCCTGGATCAAGGTTCAGTTTGTGCATGTTTTGGGGACAATTTCTTTGTTAAGACATGTGTGAAAAGTTTAAACTCTCGATCCCACCAGTAGTTTCAGGAGCACTGGWTGGTCTGACTCTTTCTTCCCTGCTATCTTGTTTACAACTTCCACTGTCATTAACTATTTGCTGGAAGCAGATTTGTTTGCAGACACTGGTTGACTCCAGGGCTGAACAAAATTTAATTGAGTCAGACCTAGATAAACAACTCCAAATTACTACTGAACCCCAGTGGCGGAGCCAGACATTTTTCTCAGGGGTGGCCAGGAAAATTACATCATTTTTTACTTGAAAGTTTCTACATATATTTGTGTTTTTGTCATTTCCTTATGTCTTTATACAGGCAGTGACTATCTTATAAACATGGGCGTCAGAACCATTTTGAAAATTGGGGGTGGGGTGGGGTGGGGGGAACACTGGGGTTCAGACAGATTCTTCATTTAACTAGTTCCATCATCCTGTTTTTAAACTCACTGTTTTAGCTGAGATAAGGTTAATTAAAGTGACACAGTTTATCATATCCACTGACTTTAGGGGGGTCTTTTTATTTTTATATTGTTTATTGATTTATTTTTACTTATGACACATGTCATTGTGCCAAATAACAATGACCTTCAAATGCATGTTTAAAACCAATATCAACAATTTTACCCAATGGACAGGTTCAATATTGATAATCACCAACAGTGAATTTAGAGGAGGGGTGTTGCACTTTTTCTGATT